AAATTCCCAGAGGAACCGCATTCTTGGCTCCTGCAGGGGGCAGCCAAATATATCCAATATCCAAATAGAATACCTCATTAAAAATATATTTTACAACTTTTAAGAGCAAAGTTTCCTGCTAGACTTATGTTGAACACAGATGCTTGTTGTCGTATGTGTCCGTCCATGTCACACATTTACAATCTCAGTGCATTTGGCTAAGTGGCAGCTGAAAAAAATAAGCTAAGTCCTATGCGTAGATATTAGCTAAAAGGGAATAGAGACTGTGTCCAATTTAAAGCAAAAAATGAAAAAGCTAGAAAGCTTGATTTTGATTACCGGTAAATCAAAATCATTTTGAAATTTTTACAAAAAATAAAGGCAAAAACCTGTTATCAAACTAATGAACTGGAATATTTTCTATGGAATACTCCTTAATTTCCCGAAACGGAACTCCATCCACCCACGTAGATATTAGCTAAAAGGGAATAGAGATTGTGTCCAATTTAAAGCAAAAATCATCCATCCATCCACCCATCCATATACTCACCCATTTATCCATCCATCATCCATCCATCCATCCATCATTTTAAATATTGGTATCTACAGTAACTGAGTCTTAAGTGTAACGTTCCTTAGACTCAGGCTTCCTTTTGGAGTATCTATTTTACCTAACAGTTAAATATGTCATCTGTGATGATGTGAATACACTGGTTATATTTTAAGACTAAATTGTTTTTCCTCGAAGATGGAATCATGATGTGGGGAACATCTGCTGGGCTGAGGTCTCACGGGTGGCAGCCGTACTCTGCACAGATTGAGATGACCTCTTACATACTGCTGGCTTTTTCGCTGCGAGGCGACTTCGAGCAGGTCTTTGACCCGCTGAAGTGGCTCTGTAAGCAGAGGAACTATCTGGGAGGCTACGTCAGCACACAGGTGGGTCTGACAACGCATTCCAGGTCATAGGTATGTTATGACATCATTGGTTATTTATAGTTTTTTTTTTCAATTCTCTTCAGGACACAGTGGTTGCTCTGGAAGCTCTGTCGTTTTACGCGGCGTTCAGCGGCGCCAGCGCCATCGACCTCAGGCTGAATGTCTCTGTCCCAGCATTGTCACTTCAATCTCCGTTTACCATCAACTTTAACAACTATCTCAAGTATCAGACTCTGGAGGTAATTCACTGGAATGTGGAGTTCCACAGAGCAGTATTTCCCAACCTTTCTTCAGCCACAGCACATACTTCACATATGACAAATACCAGGGTGCACCACAAAAAAAAAAACATACATGATGAAATCTAATGACCTTCTGGACTTACTCTGTGTGAGACCTGGGCCTCTTTAGTTGAACACTACGCTGATATACTCGTAGGAATTGAAGAAAGAAGCACACAAAGATCTTCATCTCAAGTTACAAATATAGTTCATTGCTGTGTAAAAACTAACGTCTAATTTATCAGGTTAATAAACTCAGCTGCATGATCTTTATTAAATGCTTTTTAAGCTCCCGCGGGCCACACATAATGACTTGGTGGGCCACATTTGGCCCCCGGGCCTTGAGTTTGCCACACTTATGAGGCGCCACACAGCTGTTGGGAATCACTGACATAGAGGATGTTATTGTTTAAATATGTTGATATCTTAACATTATAATACTGCATTTCCACCCACATTTATTCATCTGTTTTTAATGTTTTCTTTTCAAGCTCGATGGCTACGATGGTTCACCCATTAACATAAACTTCGAAGGACGAGGATTCGGCCTGTTTCAGGTAAATGACGCATTTCTTTTTCCCTTAATGTTTTTCTTCTCTGCCAACGCTGTAAACACCGTATTTTCCGAACTATAAGTCGCACCAGCCAAAGGATGAAAAAAGTACTGGTACACAAGCCCTTTCGAAATTATATATTTTAATATATACAGTAAGTCGCAAACCTGAGTATAAGTCGCAAACCCAGCCCAAGGATAAAAAAAAGTGTGACATATAGTCCGGAAAAAGCGGTAGTAAAGGTAAATACCACACAAAGTTCCTGCCTAGAATACAGTATAATTGACAGATCATGGCTGATACTAAGGAATTACCCCCCCCCCACCCCCACCCCTCCCGGCCAAGACAGCTCAATGCAAATATACCAGTGGTTCTCAATTATTTCCTGTCATGCCTCCCCCCATTGGGTACAGAAATGTTTTCATGCCCCCACCTCGACCACACCCCCGCAAATTGAAATATAATTGAGAACCTGGTAACATGTATATTTTTATCTGTACAAACCACTGTATGAGTTGCTGCCACCTAGTGACTGAAAGGTTTGTGATCATCATTCAAGCAGTGGTACACTTATGTCCAGTGTGCCATAGTCCATCGGAAACCCAAAATGCCCCTGCGGGCCTGCCCCACTATTTGAGAAACACTGAAATATACCAAGATGGCAGTTTCAGTAGCACGTCCAACAGCAGATAACATCGCAGAGACGATGATTGTGCTAAAATGTACATCTTTTCATTGTGACTCGCTCCACCTGATATCAGCCCGTAATTTAATATCTCATTATGGAGAGAAGTAAACCAATACACAGATATTTTTCATATCATTGGTTCTGTGCCGTGGGTGTCTAATGCACAGGGGAGACACTGAATGGAACCGATACTGTTTTCTAATCACGTGACTATACTGGCATCAGCTTGCAGTCAGATTGAATTGTGCTCTGTAGTTCTTCAACAGTACTCATGTATATATTTATATATGTGTGTATATATATTCCTGGTACTCTGTTCAGATGAATGTCTTCTACAACGTGGAGAGCGCGGCGTTGTCACAAAACCTAAAACCCACTGCGGACGACACCTTTTCCTTAACCCTCGATGTTTCCGAGGAAGGAGACCACGACCACCTGCTGCTGTATATTTGCATGAGGTACTGTACCGACACTTCTTAACATATACTGTAATATATTGTGTATGTTTGATGTTGTCATTATCGACCCTGACCCTAAATGATCCTTGGTCTTTGTGTCCTCCAGCCTGAAGGAACATCAGGTGATATCTCAGACAGGTATGGTAATCCTAGACGTGGGTTTACTCAGTGGTTTCACCGCGGTGTCCCCTGCAGCTGCTGCCACCACAGATCTTATCAGGAAGGTGGAGACATTTCCTGAAAAGATCTATCTGTATCTGGCTTCAGTGAGTGTTCCCTCAACAGTCTCAGTAGAACTTTAGCATTGCTAGCACAGTTTATTTAAAGATAGAAGGCTTTGAATTAAACTGAATTGTTTGGACAGATTGTGAATTATTTCCCTTTTTGTCAATCTGCAGCTCAACAAGTCGGAGGTTTGCATCAGTCTTCGTTTCATCAAGATCTACAAAGTGTCGCGTATACAAGACGCTGTGGTACAGCTGTATGACTACTATGAGCCCCGTGAGTGCACGGCCACAGACTCGATATCCGATATTGTCCAAACACTTAATTTCCGATTCCGATATCAACCGATATAATGGTAACCAAAATAGTGGTTAAGGAAGTTAAGTGCTGTCTGCTCACTAAGGTGACGGGTTAAAGCAGTGTTTTTCAGTCAATTTCTGCCATGCCCCCCCTAGGGGAGAGAAGTATTTTTTTCAACCCACTTCACCACCGGTTGCTCAATACTATTGAGCGTCTGGTAATATTTATTTATTTATCTGTACAAACCGCTGTATGAGTTGCTGGCACCAGCATTCTGCATACAATAACCTGATTATTAAAATAGATTACTAAAATGAGCTGCAATGCTGCCATCTAGTGGCTTTCACTTTCACGTGCAGCCATTTTTCCCCAAAACAATTTTTTAGGGTACACATCATTCGGCGAAACACGGGCGTTGTGTTACTGGGTTTTTAGGGTACACATCATTTGGCGAAACACAGGCGTTGCGTTACTGGGTTCATTATCATTATCGGGGGAAAAATGAATAGCAATTATTGCTGGTATTACATAATTATGCCAATATCGGGCCGATAATATCGACCAACTGATATTACTATCCATAATGTCAACTAATCAGTAAAGAATACTTCAAAATGCCAGGCATGTCATGTTACACGTCAACATTTACATATAGGTTCATTGTATTTAATAATCCAATATAAAACTGATATTTTTAGTACATAAATACGTCTCATATATTATTTTTAAATGTATTTTTCTTTGTCTCACAGAGAGAAAAGCAGTGAGAACGTACAACTCTGATTTCTTTCACAACATGGACTCGTGTTTTTACTGTGGTCCCAACTGTGACGACTGCAGGCCAGGGATCAGCATCTCAGTCAGCCCTCCAATCTTCTCCCGCTCAGGAAATGCTGCCACCTACAGCCTGGGATAAAAGATATAAATATTGCAGGTCTACACACATACACATATGCACTGGATGCCATTTAAAGGGTGATTGCAACATTTAGACAACGGTTGTTGCTGCTGTTCTACAATGTTCTCTCTTGTTGTTTAATATTTAAAGAAAATTATTTTTATTAACAGTTAAATTTAAAAAATGTTGTTAAACCTGTATATGACTTCTGATGTTCAACTTCATATATTTTTTTCTTGTTGATGCAGTTAAAATTATGGCCATTTTGTTTGTTCCTGGTGAATGTTTACTTTCGAGCCTACTGTGAACGGACGTTGCTATCAAAACACTTATTTTGCTAATGTGCTATCAACGAAGTAAAAAAAACTAAATAAAATAAAACATACTTTTCTGGGATTATACCATGTCATCGTTATTATACGCACGCTATTTGTCATATTTATGCGACACTTTTGCCCTAAACACGAAAATATGACCCTTTTATTTCATACATCATTAGCATGTAGCGCGAGCATTCACCTTAAAGCACTTTTTAAGCGCTGTCTCACGTGCCTCTTTAACAGCCTATCAACGCGCGATGACGCACTCGGCGAGGCACGTCGTAAAATAACGAGCGCTCAGTGTGTGAAAATCTGCTTTACGGGCTGTGATGTGCACGACTCTGATTTGGATTTACGGCAGGTCGTCCTCGTTATCATTTGTTTTACCTTCAGAGAACGCGACATTACGGCATTTCCAGTAAATAAATGCACAGCTTTAATTCAGAGATGACCGATGTTTGAGAAATGTTGCTGATATTACGGTAGGCACTGTACTTTGTCATCGTTTGTCTTAGAACAATTTTTTAAAACTTGTGTTATATTCAGTAAATCATTTCACTCCCAAAATTCACATATTGCAGTCTCTATTACTTGACATATAGTAATTCAATGCTTATTTAGAAAGTATTTATCTAAATTAAAAAACAACTTTTACGTTGTTTGGGCTGTAAGGCTGTGGACATGATTTTGTTGCATTACTGCCATCTTCTGGTCTTTTCGTTTTTTTCACCATAGTTTCACCTTAGTATTTTATTACTACTCTTTGTTGATTGTGATCAAAACCAACTATATGGACAAACAGATCGATACTTCAAAAACTACAAACTAAGTACTGCAAACCAAAACACACGATCACGTATCATAAAATATTTTAATTACTTGGACAGGTTAACAAGTTAAAATTTACTACAGCCTTCATGGGTTGCACTAAAATACGTGTTTATCTCATAAATACTTTTAATAAAATAAAATAACAGTAAACAGACAATTCATTCGATTTGTTGATTTTTTTTCTCCAAAACAAAAGATAATAAACTGATAAATGCATACAAAGGCAAGTGTGATATTTACATATATTAAGAATGATATATTGTATTACAATTAGACATAAAACTGTCAGAAAGAAATAGTTTGTCAGTAATTCAGCCCTAATCATCAAACACATTATTGACTTCACTCCATCAGGTGGGTGGTTAAACCCCCGGCAGCTGCCCCTCCTGCATCACTGACCTGCGGCCTCCAGGACACGCCCGAAACGTCACTGTTCTCAGTGCTGAATTCCTCCTGCAACAGTGGCAAAAACACTTTAATATGGACGGGTGTTTTTAATATAATATTTACGAGTGTAAACCTGGTTATCTACAGCAGTTTCCCATATTTAATGGGACCCATATTTTAAAAGTCACAAACCTTCGCGACCCAAGTCAATAGACATTATTCGTAAACTCCTGGGAAACATGATGTGAGACGACCCAAAAAAAAAACAAAACTCTTGCGACCTACCTGAGGGTCCCGACCCAGTCTTTGGGAAACGATGATCTAATCTAAGTTTATCTTCTAAAATGAAATACCCTCACCCTGCTGGAGCGCTGTTGAATTTCCTCCCGGAGTTCTTTGATCTTCGTCTCTTTCTCGGTCACCGTCACCATGAGCTTCTGGACCAGCGCGTTGTTCTCCGACGCCTCTTTGATCAGCTGCTGTCTCTCCGTGTCCTGGTCGTTATGCTGTTTGCTGAACTGTTTCAGGACCTCCTGCATCTGAGTATGCTGCCTCTACAGGAGGGAAGCGGGACTGCGGTCAGTGTGGGCTGTTGTGGTTCAACTTTACTGTTGACTCATTTTGTTAAAAACGTCCATCAGAATAACTTTGTACACGCTCATGACTCACCAGCAGAGACTCGACCAGCTCGTCGTCGTGTTTGTTCTTCTCCATCAGGGTGGAAATCTGGACCTTCAGAATTTTCATTTCATCAGTCAGAGCTTTGTTTCTGGCTTTGGACGCTTCCAGTTTTTTCTTCACCTCCTCGTGTTCTTTCTGCAGCTCTGCGTAGTCCACCGAGATTTTCTGTACACGTGCAGGGAGAGAGCCACGGTTTTACACACAAAAAAAATCACCATATTTAATGTCATTTATTATATTGATTCTATGGGCTGTGTATTGGCAAGAATGTGGCGACACGATACGTATCACGATACAGGGGTAACGATACGATGTATTGCGATATATTGCGATATATTGCGATACTTTTGAGTTTTTTGTAACAATTTAATTGTATGAAATTAAAAATAAATTAATTAATGTCCTGAATATTTGCATGTGATCGATGCAGTGCCGTGTAATACCGATGCGGTATTGTGAAACAAAATATCGCAATATTTCAATGTATTCATTTTTTTTGAGTCCCACCTCCATGAGCTCCTTCTTCTCCTTCTCCATGGAGCGAATGTGGCTGAAGTGTCGCTCTTCCAGCGAGTCTTTCTGGAGGTTTTGCAGTTTTTTTTTTGCCGACTGTTTCAGCTGCTGCTCCAGGTCTTTCACCTGTCGGAGGTCGTAGCATTAATCACTGTCAGTATACAGTTAGTTAATGAACAACTAAAAATGTTATTGACTGATCGGTCAATCTGACCCTGGTCTGAAGA